GTACATACAAATATGTATGTATACATATATACAAATATAAATCTATATACATAAATCCCATGGGATTTATAGTGCTACAAACCCAATTGCAGCTCAAATGTGAATCAGTTTTGACTCAATAGCAACAACAATGAATATTACATGTATGTTGTGTACCATCCTTGGGGAAGGACATCATGCTTGGGAGGGTGGAGGGACAGTGCAGGAGGGGAAGACCCTCTATGATGTGGGCTAATTCAGGGACTGGGGTAATCGGGATGGGTGTATCGGGGACAGTGCGATTGGCATAGGACAGAGCAGAGTTTAGGGCTTTCGTACATAGTGTCACTATGAGTCGCAAGTGACTCAGTGGCACATAATAACAACAATAACAACCATAGAGTTAGAAGTGGCCCATAGATGACCCTCCAGTAAGTTTTCAGAGGCAAGTGATTACATGGGAGGATATTGTCCATCCTTCTCTCATGGAGCAGCTGGTGGCCTAGAGCTATCTATGTGCCTTCGAAATTGCAATGCAACTTCTTGCCACTAGGCCACCAGCACTTCCTATTACATATACATTGTTGTTGTTGTTGTTGTGTACCATAGAGTCAGAACCAGCTCATAGCTGACCCTCCGGCGGGTTTTCAGAGGCAGTTAATCTCATGATAGGGGATTACCCATCTTTCACATATAAAATATATGCTATTTTTCTGTGCCATCATATTGGAACTGACTCATAACTTGCCTTATAATGGGCTTTCAGAGGCAGCAAATTGCACTAGAAAAGACTTCCTGGTTTTTTTTTACTGAACAGCTGGTGAGGTTGGACCACTTGCCTCCAAGCTGACAGTAAAGCTCCTTACGCACTAGGCCATCAGAGTTCCACGTGTGTAAGCTAATTGCAGGATTTAGGAAAGGTTATGGAATAAAGAATATCATTTGCAGGAGGATATCAAGATCAGAAGGATCTTGACTGAAAACAAAGAACATCAGAAAAATGTTTACTTGTGTTTTATTGACTATGCCAAGGCATTTGACTTTGTGGATCATAATAAACTATGGATGAGTTGGAAAAAATGGGAATCCCAAAACACTTACTTGTGCTTATAAAATCTGTGCATAGACCAACAAGCTGCTATCCCAGCTGTTACATATTTTATTATGACAAGAAAATGCTGCATATTTTAATATCAGGAAAGGTATATATCAGAGTTGTATTCTTTCTCCATGTCTATTCAATGTATATGTTGAGTAAATAATATGAGAATCTGGAGTATATTAAGAAGAAAAAGATGTCAGGATTGGAAGAAGACTCAATATACAGATGACACAAGCATGCTTGGAGAAAGTAATTTCCCCTTCACTATTCTGTACACATGAACAAAGGTGTGTTTGCAGTGGTTAGTACAGGATCTTAGATAATGATGTCTGTAAACTCCTGTCTCCACGCTGTACATGTGCTTAATTTTTCCTATTGCCTCTTTAGAGCCATCAATCATTTCTTCTGTGATACCATCACCATGTTGACTATAGTTTGTTTAGACACCAGGATCTATGAGTACAAAATGTTTGTGAACACATGAAGCACTTGCTGCAGAAGATCAAAGATTGTTGTTGTTGTTGTTATGTGCTGTTGAGTTGCCTCTGACTGAGAGTGACCCTATGTACAATAACTTTGAAGCCTACCCTGTCCTGAGCCAGTCTCACCAACTCTAACACATCTACCCTCATTGCCTTAGTTACTGTATAAATCCATCTCATCCAGGGACTTCCTCTTCTGTGCTGTCTCTCCACCTTTCCGAACATGAAGTCCTTCAAGATTGATCCCTTCTGGCCACATGCCCAAAGTATGTGAAATGGAGCTTGAAAATTCTAGCCTCCTAGGAGAAACTTTGTTTCACCCTCTCCAAGAAGATAAGATTACAGCCTTCAGTATGGACTATATCTCAACAAGAAGAAAATTTCTTACAATTGGACCAATAAACAACATAATGACAGATGGAGAAAAGATTAAAGTTGTTGACAATTTCATTTTATCTGGACCAATAATCAGTTCCCATCGTGGTGGTTGTTATTGCCGTTGAGTTGGCTGCGACTTGTAGTGAACAATAACTCTGAACCCTCTCTTATTCTGAGGCAATCACACTATCTCTGACACATCTGCCTCATTGCCTAATCACTGAGTCAATCCATCTCATCCAGGATCTTCCTTCTGTTCCAATCCTCTACGTTTCTAAGCATGGTGTCCTCCAAGGATCAGTCCCTCCAGGCAATGTGTCTAAATTATGTGAGATGGAACTTCAAAATGTTTGTTTTCAAAGAGTAAATTGGCTTTACCCTCTTAAGGGTAAACCTGTTGGTTCTCTTTATAGTACTGGGAATATACCCTAAAGATACCAGAACTGCCACACAAGTAGATATATGCACATCCTTGTTTATTGCTGTGTTCTTCACAAAAGCAAAGAGATGGAAATAGCCCAAGTGCCCATCAACAAAAGAATGGATAGAGAAGTTGTGGTGTATTCACACAATGGAATACTAGATAGCACTGAGAAACAGGGAACTCATAAAATATTATTCAAAATGGGTGACCCTGGAGAACATTATACTGTATGGAATATCTCAGTCACAAAAGGAAAAATACTGCATAGTGCCACTGTTGTTAAATGGGACTGACATTGGGGTTGGGGTAAACTAAAACAAGATGGGATAAATAATGTACACTACATTAAAACAGATGAGTGAAAGAACTGCTTAAGAGGAATATGTTGTTGTTGTTGTTGTTGTTGTTGTTGTTGTTGTTAGATGCCATCAAGTTGTAGATGACTCATAGCAACCCTATGAACGAACAGCCTGAGCACTGTTCATACACAGAGTTTCCGGAGGCAAGCCATTTCAGAAGCAGATGCCACTGTTGCTTCCAGCTTGTTTTAGTTTGGAAGCTCCAGCAAACACTTTCCACCATGGGTAAGCATTACCACGTTTGGCACATCAGCGTTACAGTGTTCAGCATCATAGCAACTACGAATTACCGCTGTACAGCAATGCACAGACCAGTGCTATACCACCTAGAAGAATGTTTAACAGGAAAACAATTTAAACCAGGCCTGAGGACCGCAGATTAAAATCACCCACCTTCAGCTTGGTAGCATAACTCTCTGTACACTAGGCCAATGTAGCTCTCTCTATGTCGTCGTTGTTATTGTTGTTAGGTGCAGTCGAGTCATAGATGACTCATAGCGACCCTATGAACGAAAGGCCCGAGCACTGCTCATAGAGTTTCCGGAGGCAAGCCATATGATTAGGTATTATTTGCATGACAGCAGTACAGAATTAGAATGGCAGAGTAAAGTTGTCTGGGATGGGAGTGGGAAATTGTACAACAATGAAAGATTTTATTTTTTTTTCCAAGAAGAAAAGCAAACTGGGGGAGGGTGGCCAGGAAGGAAATGTGCAATAATGAATGAATGAAAATCCAAGTTCTCTATAAACTCATTAAAATACCAATTAAAGAAAGAAAAAAATCAGAAGATATATTACGTTGGGAAAATATGTGGTTAAGAATCACTTTAAAGTGTTAATGAGCAATGATACCAATTTAAAGACTAAGGGTATGTCTAATCCGGGCATAGTATTATAAATGTCTTTCTATACCCTTGAAAGTTAGCCAATAAATAAGGATAAAAAAAAGAATAATCTATGCCCTGACTAATTATGTTGGTGAAAGGTATTGAATATTCCTTGAATTGTCAAAGCAACAAACAACTATATCTTAGGAAATTGCAACAATGGTATGTCTTAGAAGCAAGGATGATTAAATTTTGTCTAATATTATTTGGATTTATTGTCAGGAGAAGACAGTCTTTGGAAAAAGATGTCACACTGAAAAAATTGAGGATCAGAAGAAGAAAGGAAAACCTTCAACAAGAGAATTAAAATAGTGAGTATTAATGAGTTCAAGCATATCAGAAATATGCCAACATTAAGATCTGCTATTCATTGGATCACTGTGGTTTGTAATCAGGTTAATGATACCTAACAACACCATTAAAATACAAGGAAAGGATATAAAAATCAACAAGGAAAGTTCATAAGCTAGGTGCACTGTATTTGTATTTGCTCATGTCATGTATTATAGAGTCAGAACTGACCCATAGCTGACCCTCTGGCAGGTTTTCAGAGGCAGTTAATTGCGCGAAAGAGGATTGACCATTCTTCTCCCGCAGAGCAAGTAATGGCCTCGAACTGCCTGCTTTCAGGATTATAACACAGCTCTTTGCCACTTGGCAAGAGTCCCATTATTTATTCATATGACTGCTAAATAATTTATTACAACTTACTCTCAAATTTTCTTTATATATCCAGCTCATGCTTAAATATGTTGTTATTGTTTAGCTGACCCTCCTGTGGGTTTTCAGAGGATGTCAATAGCATGGGAGGAGATTGTCAATCATTCTCCCTTGGGGTAACTAGTGGGAGATGTATTTATATTACAACTGAATGATTTAGTTATTATTTCAAGTTATTCTTAAACTATCTCTATGCACTCAGCTCATGTTTAAGTATGTAGTGGTTGTAAACCTTCAAGTCAGAACCTATCCATATCTAACCCTCCAGTGGGTTTTCAGAGGCAGTCGGTTCCACGGGAGGAGATTGTTCATTCTTGTGGAGAAACTGGTGGCCTGGCCTCCAACTGCATGTGGCATTTCAGTACAGTTTTTTGTCACTATAGTGCTTGTTTTTCTGAACATGGAAATTTATTAAGAATTATCCTTGTAATACTGACATTCTAGGGATACTTAAATTTTTTTTCATCAATTATTTACACATTATATCTGTATGCAGTGGGAGACTAGTTATTTTTGTTTTAAGGTAAAAGTAGTCATTCAATTAAATTAACAAATAGTTTCTATAAAACATCTATAATTAGAGCAATCACAGGTACTATAAAAAATAAAGTCTACTGTTTATTCCCCGTTCATACTCTTGTTTCTTTAAGGAAAATCAATGAAGATTCAATGGAGAGTCATAATGAAACATCAACTGATTTCATTTTGTTAGGACTATTACCACCTTCAAGAATTGGCCTATTCTTCTTCAGTATTATTATTTTACTTTTCATAATGGCTCTAGCTGGCAATCTATGCATGATACTCCTCATCCTCGTGGACACACATCTCCACACCCCAATGTATTTCCTACTTAGTCAGCTCTCACTCATGGATCTGAATTACATTTCTACCATTGTTCCCAAGATGGCTTACAACTTCCTGTTTGGAAATAAATCAATCTCTTTCATTGGATGTGGAGTCCAGAGTTTCTTCTTTTTGACTTTGGCAGGTGCAGAAGCACTTCTCTTGGCATCTATGGCCTATGATCGTTATGTGGCCATTTGTTTTCCCCTTCACTATCCTGTTCGTATGACCAAAGATATGTGTGTAGTGATGATTACAGGATCTTGGATAACGGCATCTATTAACTCCTGTGTCCACACTGCATATGTACTAAATTTTCCCTATTGTCTGTCCAGAGCAATTGATCATTTCTTCTGTGATATCACGGCCATATTGACTCTGGCTTGTGTAGATACCACAATCTATGAATACACCGTATTTGTGAGTTCAACCCTGTTCTTAGTGTTTCCTTTCATTGGCATTTCCTTTTCCTATGGCCGAGTTCTCCTTGCTGTTTACCGTATGCCTTCATCTCAAGGGAGGAAAAAGGCCTATTCAACTTGCAGTACTCACCTCACTGTGGTGATTTTCTACTATGCACCATTTGCTTACAATTATCTACGACCAAGTTATCTACGATCTCCAACTGAAGACAAAATTCTGGCCATTTTCTATACTGTCCTTACTCCCATGCTTAACCCAGTAATTTACAGCTTAAGGAACAAGGAAGTGATGGGAGCCTTGAGAAGAGTTATTCAAAGATTCTACTATATGAAAGTATGGACACGGTTTCTGTATCAATCCTCAAATTAGGTTTCTCTGTCTATTCAACAGTGAAATGTCATCAAGAAAAATATTATGCAAGATGTGAAGACAAAGACAAAAGTTGCATTAAGAATATGGAAAAGTCAACATTTGGCAAAAGAATTTAAAGTTTCTAAATCATTTTGTGTGTTCCCCAACCCTGCCCCAAAGGTAATGTTCCCCACGAATATATATATATA